AGCAAGGAGAACCCATGCTGGGTCGTTGCTGCCGCTCTCGGCTTGGATGTTATTGAAGTAACCGAAAGGACCAGGAAGAAGCTCAGTCAGCCGTTCGACCGTTTCTTCGTGATTCGCTGAGCGATCGATTGATATGCCTGTGACCGTGTCAACGACCGCGAGTCCATTCAAGACCGCCATCTGCATCTCGCTACCAGTGGGCCGCTTGCTGTAGCCGGCAGGAAGGCTCAAAGCACCATTCTGCGTGTAACATCAGCTGCAATCCCAATGAGCGCGACAAGACACGTACCACAAATTCCGTCCCGCACGGCAAGACGACAAGGCTAACGACCTTGAACGCATCTCCGCTACCTCTACCCCCACTGGCATTCTATGAGCTGATTAGTCTCCGCTTTCGTCTCGACGGAATACCTTACTTTCGTCTTGGCTTTCTCGTTCTTCCCTTTTCGTTTCAGCCCTGCATTGCTCTCCACGTTGGCTGCTTGAAGCATTTTTTTGGTGCTCTTCGATTGCTTACGACTGCCCCCGGTGATGGATGCACCGAGCTTTTTGGCCTGGGACGAGCTGCTTGCGCTCATCATGCTCCCCAGCAACCCCTTGACGATCTCTGGTCGTGCCGCGGCACGGGGCTTCTTGAGGAGATGGTAATACAGCGAGTGGTCGCAGAAAACACAGTAACCCGATCTGCTGAGGGACGGCATGAATTCGGTACAATCACATTCCCCGCCGGTAACCTCGTCTTCAGCGCTGCACTCGCCGGTCAGAGAGTCAGGATCGGGCTGGTGAGAGGAGGACTCGGAGGAGGACATGGTGGTGGGTGAAGAAAAGAGGATGAAACCGGTCGACGTCGCTCATATATTGCCGTCGCCAGGTACTGTCCGTCAAGAACCTTATGGAACAGGCAGGTATCGATTAGTCTTCGTACATGTACTGTATCTGCTGCAATATATCCAATGCGCGCGTCCACAACTCCGCCCGAGGGCGCCAAATATGATCAGGAAGGGAAATACGCGTTCGTTTCGAACCGCGCCGCCCCGACTTGATGATTCCATACGAGGGATACTCGTCGTCTTCCCACTCCTCCTGACGAATGCCATAGCCACGCGGAACAAGATTCATGTTTGTGGCCTGGGTTAGCGCGTCAACAAATATTTGAAGCTGCTCCTCGTCATCGAATGGGCATTCGTGCTTTGGAACTGCGACCGGTTCCGGGTGAAAGTTCTGGCCGTACGCTTCCTCGATGGCATTGGCGACTCGGTCGTCGTTCTCATCCGCACCTTCATCGTATTCAAATTCACTCTCGTCTGAATCGACACTGTCCTCAGCAACCTCGTCAGTATAGTCATCGTCTGAAAGCTGGCCGTTGCCTGGCAAGTCTGGACCGTCTGCTCCGAGGAACTGCTCGAGAACAGCTGGATGCTCCGCCTCGAAATCATCACGATAGATTCCGTGCTGCACCCCTCCGAGCAGAAGCATGTCCTGGGAAGAGCCGAAATAAGCTGACAGGATACGGACTATAGTGCGACCCACCCTTGGGCTCTGATCATGACCTTCACCAGAAATGGGCTTTCTGTTCCACTTGCGTTGGAAAGTGATGCAATCGTCGTTGATCAAGTCGAGGAAGAGGTGATGTAAAAGCCAGAGGTGCTTGGGATCTTTGCGCTCGAGTTGGTGCTGATCTTCGAGTCGATAGAAGAATGCACGCCAGGCGCGCGCAAAATCGGAGCCAACTTCGACCCAGAGACGCTCTATTCGTGTGTTGTTGGTAGATCTCAACGGAAGATGAGTTGGATGGGAGTAGAAATAATGTATGGTTGCTCACGAGCCCCACATAAACGATGCGCGACCCAGGCCTCGGGTCAGAATCATATACAGTGAGATTTTCTTATTCTCTCCTCCGCGATCGCCCCGAAGCCGCGACGGTAATCCATACTCTCCGACCGCATCGAGAAACACCTGGAGAACCGTAGATGCTTTATTATTTGTGCTGGCTCGGAGACCGGTGACCTGCAAAACTGAGTGGATGCAAAGACAAGGGTTTTCGACGTACCGTGCGGGAGTACCCGTCGATGAACCCGTGAATAACAATCCCCCACAAAATCAACTTGTGGTGCCCATCGACGTGCCACAGCGCATGTGGCCGAGCAACCTTGTACGACCGGCGTTGAATGGTGCGTCGTCGTCGGAGAACGTGTCCGAGTCCGTCAACTCGGCGCACTGATGCGTGAACTCGACGTTTCTGCACGCGAAGGCCATTGGAGCGAAGATGTCCCCGCAGATAGCGCAAACCAGAGTCAGGTTTCTCCTCCCGATATGATTTGACAACCGCGTCAAGTTCGGCCTTGGTCAAGTCGGTGAAGCGATGTAGGACATTGTATTTCTTCAAGTGAGCCCGGAGTGTCGGTTGGCTGATCTTCATTGCCCTTGCCAGAGCAGCTACGCTAATCCCGCGGTCAGAAGCCATTGCCTCTGCAACAAAATCCGTGTTTAGCTTCTTCCGAGGACGCCCGCGCTTGCCAGTTCTGACCACCGTGACGGGCTCGACACTACCAACATGTGTTTCCTCTCTGTAGTTTGTTAGCAGTGCATTGAATTCGCGCTCAAACCGAAAATGCTTACCTCGAAGTCGCGGTTTCTTGCATCTCACACAAACTTCGAATGAGACGGCCCACGACCCTTGTGCACGACTCGATCCACGACATGGGAAGTTGCTCTTGCGTAGCATGTTCTTCGAATGCCTCCAGAATTGTGAACATCTCGTGGGCTCCGGTATTCGCTGCGTATTCGAGCCGATGTGCATCAGAGTCTTGATAGAGGACGTCCCGCGCGTGTCGAAAGTTTTGCTTGAGTGCCTGGTATGCATTCTGGACATTGGGCGACCACTGCATTCCTGGAGTCGGGACCACGGGCAATCCGGGAAGTGCGAGCTGCTGCGACATGGTGGTTGTTAGACGATTTAAACAAAGTTAAAAGGACACACGAGTCAACCGTTGTTCGTCTCGGGAGCAGTGCAATTTTCTCCTCTCCCAAACCACCATGGACGACGCTATAGACTACCCCGACACGGAAATGACTGTGGCCAATGCGCCATGGAACCAATACCTCGGACCGTGGCGGAACTACCCCGGTCCATATGAAGAACAAGAGGAGTTCAAGTTTGTCGACGCCTCTGTCGTACTCCGCGTATGTCTCGCATACTCCGAGCACATAACAATGGTCAGACTAATTATATGCCTGTAGGTTGAATACGTGATTTACCAGGTGCACATCGGGATGTTCATCAGCCTCTCGCCAGTCTGGAAAGCCATCCTTGAAATACCGAGCAGTACGACCGACGACGCGGACCCCGAGGGAAGCAAAGGGAATCCCATATTTCTCGAAGGAATTACAGTGGACGAGATGGATGATTTTCTCGTTTACATCTATCGCCAGTCAGTCTTTGTGTGCTTGTTCGAACTGGCCAAACTCACCGTGTCCTCAGACTATGGACAGATCGCCGCTACGCGTCGATGCAGGCAGTTGAGCGCTCGCATGTCAACCTGCTCAAGCTGGCCTCACTATGGCAAATTGAAACGGCACGCGAGTATGCCATCACCCACCTCGAAGAGAGCGCAGGGCTGCACTTCCTCCGCCGCCTCGAACTCGCGCGCAAGTACACCATCATTCACTGGGTTGAGGGAGCGGTTCGCGAACTCTTCGCCAGTCGAGCGCGACTGAGCGAAATCAGTCACCTCCCCGGCGGAGAGCTGACGTACCTCGACTTCAAAACGTACACAATTATCGCGCGCGGCATGGAACGTCGGATGGTGGAGCGGCAGCGTGTGGCGAGGGTCGCGCCGGCAATGTCGAGCGATCCTACGTGGACCTGTGAATCCCACGCAAAATGCATTTTGGCGTGGAAGAAGTTGTGGTGGTCGAAGATTGCCCCGAAGATCCTTCACCCGGACAATCCCCTTCCTATCGACCGCATTGCTGACGAGGTTCAGAAGATATCGGACCTCGACTTGAAGAACCGGTGCCGCGATGATATGGTGCAGGCAATCAAGGGTGGTGCGATTGGTTTTCCGGATGAGAAGATCATCGAGGGCGTTGTGCAAGCGATCAAGGTCTGGTATAATGACTCCGCGTTGACGATGGAGCGGCGGGTAGAGTAAAAGGTCGTAAATCTGTGTTATTTGTATCAAAGTATGTTAAAGCCTGCATGAAGTGGTTAGTGCAGTTCAACGCTGCGCAAGACGGCGGGCACATGCACCAGCTCCCAGTCCTGCACGACGCCCACTAGAAGCGCCTATGTCCACCTGCGTCCCTTTGCAACGTTCTGGGAATCTTCAGCGTAACCCAGACACTCAGGCTCTCCAGTGGGCAAGGTTGGCGAGAAGAAGAAGCTGTGTCACACCGTTACAAGCGCCCATCAAGCGCTCGAAATACTTGCGATAGGCGTCGAAAAACTTGAGATAGCGCGACAAAATTTTCGATAGAACGTCTAAAGGGCCTAAATAACTATAGCGAAAGTCGAAAACTATATGGTGAGCGTAAGTTTAGATGGAGGTTATTTATTTTCCACTTTGAACAGCATAGAGCACACTGTGTTCGACCTATCTTGGCCTCCAGGCATGCCAATGGCTTCCAGAAAAATGCTAACCCACCATTATTCACCTCGTAGATTCCGAATCTGCGGCCAGGTTCTCTTACTGCTGAGTGGTTGTGGTGCCAGGCCATCAATGGCGCTTAAGGTGTGATCATGATTCAGACTATCCACCGTAACGCTTCGTTCGTCGCGAGTTTTCAACCGTTTCCTTAGCTTTCTTTTGAGGATTGTAGCCGATTACTATACGAATGGATCCTGCAAAAAATCGGGGCGATATCTTAAAGGGGCGGCGAGAATTTACAACATCTGTGCCACCTGGCGTATCCAAGTCGTCCGAATTATCGGTTCCTTTAAGTAACTAGATATGTGTGTATCCAAACTTCCAAAGCTCTCAGAGAGCGAGAAAAAAATAGGGGTTATGCCGGGATTGAACCGACGACCTCCTGCATGAAGGATGCCACATGGCGTCCCGGAATAACCCAAAGCAGGAATCATACCTCTAGACCAATAACCCTTGAGAAAGGGCTCGATGCCTTAGTAGTCGTACCAGAATAATGGCAAAGGAAGCTTGTGATAAAACCTCACTAACAGCATCATGATCGCCTCCACGTAACCCAGTACATAGCACACCGGCACCGACGGCAAATTGATGTCCATCGACTGATCTCGCTTCAGCGGTACCTCTGGTTTCCTGTTTTGCGCTGTTCTTGCGGGAATCTAAGAGACGGAGAAGACTGGGATGTATTTGACAAACCAAACACCATTCTGTTAAAAAAAAAAAAAGAGGCGAAAATCTCTCCAGTTCTTCAGATTTTGCGGTTTGCAACGCCTCACAGTAAAATGGCTGAAATCCAATTATTGGAATATTAATTTTGTCCAAGATGCACTGCCAGTGGTACATGGTTGGACGAACTTTGTCCATGCACACCCTATGTCCTTTGTTGTCGATAACGGCGCGAAGGAAGGAAAGAGCGCGGGCAATGCTAGAGTGGTGTATTGCAGGGGATAAGCAGGAATGAATATGGCTGCACTGCGAGCTAGACAACCGCCAACATCCTTACCTGCTACTTTGGTTCCATCGCAGTCAACGCGTTCCTTCGCTACCCGATTCCATCCCGACTTGCGATCAAGCGCGTGCGGCCGCCATCGAGCGTTCTGCGTCATCGCTGCGTCATCGTCAAACAGATTATTTCTCGATTACGAGCTGCATTTGACTAAGCCACGAGTGCTTCGTGCTTTGCGGCCGGTCCAGTTTTCTCTCCTTCGGTGCGAAAACAAGTTTGAGATGCAAGCCGATGGCTATGTGCATGCGACTTACATAATCCTTAGATAGGGGCAGTTCGAGCAAGTTCAAGAAAAGTGACGTCAGTGACTGGATTCAAAAGACCGTGACCGCTCCTCACCTTCATGCCCGACAATGCCTAATACCGACGCGCTACACTCCTCGTCGTTCATCTATCCAGCCCGCTCGCTGCTGAGCAGCTCCATACAACCGGCGTCGCCATCCATACTCGACGATGCAACCATCCGAGTCGATATCCGATCTCGACATCCCTCCGCCCCCACAGACACTCGCCCACCCCACAAACACACACAGACGGCCCTATCAACCGCCAAATCATCCCCTCGTCGTCCCAGATCCATCTCCGACTCATCCCTCAAGAAACCACCCGCCGATTCCCCCAAAAGGAAGTCGAGGAAACGTCGGAATGGCTCCACACTCACTACCCCCAACTTCCGCCACTTTCCCGCAGAGGCTGGCCCTTCAGACCTGCCACGTTCCTTCTCCTCAACGGCCCCAAATAATGCAGACTTGTTTCCCGACAGTCTGGCCGTCCTCTCCGCCTCGACACCTCTCGCAGATGTCGCTTCGCCTGTACGCGAAAAGGCACCCCAGACAACTCCTCCCAGTGAACCCCGCGCTCGTCCGAAGCAGTTTCCTGTCAGCGACGACCCGCTGCCTCCAGAAGAGGTTCCCGACGCGCCAGACGCAGCTCTAAGACCCCCTTGGAACCCAGATTTCGTTCATCTCCCGCCTCTCCTCACCTCCGCCGCCCCTTCCTCCAGCGGCCATGCAGCTGCCGTATACCCGCGAATACCCGGCAGCAAGGGTACAACACAGCGTTCCGAAAGCCAGTCTATAAGATCCCAACCGCCTCCGCCTAACGGCAATCCCTCCAACTCTTCACAGTCATCCTTCTCGAATGGTGTATCGGGCTCATTCTCGGGATCCGCATCCGGCTCGGAGGCAAGCGATTTATCGCAGTTCATGACAGTGCGCTTCCAACACGTTCGCGACGACCATGGACACCATGTTATAGTCGGACGAGAAGGGAAATTGGCGCGTTGCGAAGACGAGGTGTGTTTTCTGTCTTGCAAACACCATTTCTACCCTAATCACATGTCAGCCCATCCGCGCGCCAGGCGCAGTCCAAGGCTTCGGCGTTCTAATTGCTGTAGAAGAGTTGGATGATGCGCTCGTGGTTCGCCAGGTATCCGAGGTGTGTTGGTGTTGTCTGAATCTCAAGACTATAGACCCTAATCCTACATCTTAGAACTCTGGAGAACTGCTCGGACTCTCCCCGCATTACCTCTTCTCCCTCGAATGCTTCACCGATACCCTCCCAGAATCTCAAGCCGGCGTCATCTGGGACAACCTACAGTTCCTCTCAGAAACAGACATTAACGCTCAAGACGAAGAAGGTTCGCCGCATGTATTCCTTCTCACTGGCTGGGGCGCCCCCGGGAGTGCGAAGGAAGGAGACATGACTGCGAGTGGCGATAAGCGTCTTTGGACGTGTTGGTGTGCGGTTCATCGGCCATCGGACCCCACTGAGGGCAACAACTCGGGGATGATCATTATGGAGTTCGAACTGGAGCGGGACACGCTGAACCCACTCTATCCATCGACATCAGAGGATGCTGGTATCGGCTCAGGGACGCCAGGTTCTGTGGGCAGCGGGAGTGGGCGAGGGACGGACGGGACGGACGGGACAGAGAAGGGTGCTTCGACGGATGGGTCGTCCACGACGCTGATGCCGGACAAGGGTTTGGCATCGGTATCGGTAAATTCAGATGAAGGCGAACTCAATCCATCGTTGTCCGTTCCCAGTGCGGAAGATATCTTGGATAGCACCACCTCGCGTGCGAAACCTCTTCCTGCGCTGGAACGGCTTCGGCGCATCGGCCGTGGGGAGCGGCCTGGAACTTCGCCCACTTCTATCACCAACGATCCTCTTGGCGCGTCGCAGGCACAATCACAACGTCCCCGCCGTACACGTCGAGGTACCGCGGGGGGCACGGCAGGCGGGGTTGGGATGATGGATGTTTTCGCGGTGATGGCCCAGATTAATGAGCAGCTCGGGGATGCCCCTGACTTGAACACGTTCTTGCAGGTGGTGGTGGGTGTGATCAAGGACTTGTCCCAGTTTCACCGGGTGCTCGTGTACCAGTTTGACGAGAGCTGGAATGGCCAGGTCGTCGCCGAGCTGATGGACTGGAGCAAGTCGCATGATTTGTATCGAGGGTTGCATTTCCCGGCGGCTGATATCCCGGCGCAGGTGAGTTCAGTTCTTTGAGCTCGGATGTGGACACTGTTGACGAGCGTGTAGGCGAGACAGCTTTACGCAATTAGTAAGTTTTCTTTTTTCCCCCTTCAATCAGCCTTTCAACTGACGTACTTTTTTTCAAGACAAGGTGCGATTGCTGTATGACCGATCTCAAGCCACCGCCCGGATTGTCGTCCGGACACGCGAAGATCTTCAGACGCCATTGGTGGGTTTCTTATCGTCTTCTTTACCGTTTTCTTAAGTTGACGCATGACATTAGAACATGACCCACTGCTATCTGCGTGCAATGAGCCCGATCCACGTTAAATGTCAGCCCCTGGATTGTGGGGACCAAGGAACAGAATCACTGAACGTCTATAGACCTCGAGAATATGGGCGTCCGTGCGTCCATGTCTGTCGTGAGTTTCCTCTATCTATCCTGAAGCTTATTCCCTGGTCTGAGTGTTTTCTGAACAGTCAATCATGGCCTTTGGCGCGCTCTGGGGTCTAGTGTCGTGTCACTCGTACGGCTCGCACGGGATGCGCGTGTCGTTTCCTGTACGGCAGATGCTGCGACTCCTTAGCCAGTCTATATCGAGGAATATTGAGCGCTTGAGTTATGCTCAGCGGTTGACGACGCGCAAGCTGGTGAGTTGTGTTTTGGTTCTGTGTACTCGCAGCAACCAATAACCGAGGTAGATCAACACGATGGCTACGGATAACCACCCCGTGCGCGCTTTCTCAGAAGTGTGGGTGATTGCGCTAATATTTGGTTCAATAGACCGGATATATCGTGAGCAACGCGGACGATCTGCTCGGACTGTTCGATGCAGATTTTGGTGTGCTAGTTGTACGTTTTTTCCAGTTTTCGTCTTTAAAAAAACCGAAAACTCTTGCAGATTGGTCAAGCTGCCAAGATGCTTGGGCCGAACGATCACGGGCAGGAGATACTGGTCATGACTGAGTATTTACGACTCAAGCAATTCCCGTTAGTTCATCCGACTTTGATTCTCCAACGATATAAAACTTGACTCGGAATCAACATATAGCACTATCCAGGTCTCGCACGGCGTTACCATCGACTTTGAGGACCTCGCGCTCTCGGACGGGCTCGATGTCATCGCAGGCATGCTCTACGTCCCACTCTCAAGCGAGGGCAAAGACTTTATCTGCTTCCTGCGCAAGGGGCAGCTGCGCCACGTCCACTGGGCGGGAAACCCTAATCTCAAGCACAATGCACCACCAGAGGCGATGTTGGAGCCGCGGAAAAGTTTTGCGATTTGGTCCGAGACGTTATCGGGGAGGTCTCGGGCATGGACGGACGAGCAGTTGGAGACGGCGGGGGTGTTGGCGTTGGTTTATGGCAAGGTTAGGATTCGCGCTGTTCCATTTTTCCAGTCGATTTCGGTTATTAATTTCGGTTTTTTCTTCTTCTAGTTCATTGAGGTGTGGAGGCAGAAGGAGAATGCTCTTCAAACGACACGGCTTACGAATTTGTTGCTCTCTAATGCCTCGCATGAGGTTCGGACGCCGCTGAATCATATCATCAAGTACAGAGCCTTTTTTTCTTTCTACATTTGTTGTGTTGACCTACGTTTTATAGTTACCTGGAGCTCGCGCTCAATGGTAATTTGGATGACGAGACTCGCGACAATTTGAATCGTTCCCATGCTGCTTCGAAGGTACGTAGACTACTGGAAAGGGCTTGCGAAATAAGTGCTGAGTCTGGACGCAGAGCTTACTTTTCACGATCAACGACTTGTTGGATCTCACACGGCTCGAGAGCGGGAACGAGACGTCATTCAATGAACCTTTTGACTTGCAATTCACGATTGAAGATGCTACACACTTGTATCGAAAAGAGGCTCAGCGGAGAAACATAGACTTCAAGTTAGACCTTGACCAGTCTCCCAAGAAGGTCGTCGGTGACGCCAAGAAGATTCGGACGGTGGTTCAGAATCTGACT